CAGAGACCAATACCGCCACAGGTAGGAGGAGCCAGTCCGCCCTTCCTCCTTCTGTGTGGGAGCAGGCGCTGCTGTGGTTAGCCCAGCCGTCTGGCTATAGCACGGCTGGCTATTCCAAACTGGACAGGTTAATAAAATACTTGTTGACTCAAATAAAGAAACACTGCAAGCTTACTGAATTTGGCAAGACAAGAAAACCAAACCTGACATGGCATCCCACTGCGAGGCCCTGACACCTTATCAAAATTCTCAACTTATCTCTTGATGTCTGTACTTTAAAGGACAGCCTGAACAAGCAGCTTTAGCAACTAAGCCTCTTGAAAGACCTGTGCTTCAGCATCTTTTGGAAACATACGTTCAGATGATCAGTTACTCAACACCTCAAAAAAACTGATCTTTTCTCGTTTGAAAACACTCCGCCCTTCTGCCTTCTGTCCTCTGACTCTTCTGGTTTTTGTTCCAACTGAGCGTTTTACTGGCTAATTGATTTCAGTTTTCTATTTAAAGCACACTTCTAACCTTGCTTTCAAGCTCTGAAAAGGTTGAATGGGATCTGAATTGGTATCAGCCATGAGTTTCAGAACTGACTTCATTCAGGCTTTGATGCCTGAAATGTGACCAACATGACCTCTGCAAAATGCCTGATACAGTCACTGTCACCTGCATTTGTTCAGCATCAACTGATCACCTATTAACAGCTGTTTACAGAGAAATGAGTGTTATCAAATTAATAAGAGTTTGTTTAAAGCTCTGTGTTGAAAACCGTGCCCTTGGAGTCAGGGACTTTTTGAAAACCGGCACTGACTGGAGTCTGACTAACCTCAAGTCTACACAAGCAAACAGATAAAGCCATGAATTAGCCCCAGTGATTGCCAGCTCAGTTGGAATGAAAATCAACACAGTGGTCTCCAAGGACTGGGTATGGGAACAACTGCTGTAATGGACACGACTCCTCAAAACCCTCGGCTTCAGGTCAGTTTTGTGTGACTTTATGAAGTCAGACTGGTAAAATACAAACACTTCCTTCACCAGGTGCTGGCCGTTACTAATTCTTTTCATTTTCTCTCTGGGAAATTGCATTTCCAATGGAAATAGCTGAATGTGTATTTCTGAAAGTTCACTCGCACCCTGAAGCCACTGATGAAGAGATTGGATCAAGCTGTATGAGACCGAAACATAACAACAATACTAGAACAAAAATAATGATAATAAATCTGAATGCAGACATTATTTCAATTTATATTATTCTTGAGCACCTCAAAAAAAAATTGAAAACACAGTCAAGACTGATAAGAACCAATGAACAATTCAGAACACCTCTCTCCTCTGGGGATGGGACAACTGCAATGTTCTGCAGTTTGTTTGACAAAATCTCCTATCTGCGAATTGGATCGCAGTTTGAAGGCAATGGAAGAAATCTCTGATAAATAATAATGATGGTAGCGTCCCCAAGGACAACAAAACCGCAACAATATTTTTTTTAAATATATGTGCTTTGATAAAAAAAAGTATTGTACCTTTTGATATTTTTCTTTCTATAAAACATAAAGCCTTTAGCGAGAAAGATGAGATGGTTTAAGACTGGAAAAAAGGAGCGTCACCCTTGGGTGTTGTGATGGTGTTCTCAGACCATGTTCTGTTTGAGAGGGCACTTTAATCTTTCATTTCCTGCCTGATCCCAGCCAGACCTCCACCTCCTCAGCTAGACTGGGGCTCGTCTCACGCGGGCTCTGCTCCCCCTCCGCTCTTTGCACCCCAAGACCTTCTGTAAGAGCACTTTTATAAACCTCACACATCCCTTTCCCAAGGTGGCTGACCTAACTTTGAGTGAGCAGCCTGGGGGTGCCAGGTCAAATCCACACTGACTCTGCAGAGCTACAGCGATCTTTCTCTGAGACTACTAAATAATTTAGCTCTTTACAAGCATCAGCAAATCAGTTAAATATAAACCCCTGCAATATTTACACTGTATTCTTTATACATGTATATGTTGAATTTTCCGTTTTGCTTAAAGTTTGTTCCAGCAAAGTGTTTAATTTTGTTTTCCTTTTTAAGAATCCCACAATGCCTGTCCAGCTGGGTTCCTTATGGGATTCTGTGCATTTTTAATGGCAGACCCAGGAATGGGAAGCGTTTTGTTATTTCACTTCATTTAATACAGGATGAAGCTGAAGTTGAATTTTTAATCTCCTATGCATATTATATAAACCTTCAAAATTGAGCTAGAAGCCTAACGTTCACCATGATTATTGTAACAGTACATTAAAATTTAATGTAATTTTCCAAAGTTCAAGGTAAATTGAATTATCTGATTTTGCATATCCCCTATCTTTGCAAGAAAAAAAATGTAATGCATGGTCTTGAATAGCTATGAAAATGTTCAAACAGCTGTCTCCTGCACTTTCACCCAGCACCACGGCACTCTCTCTTGTTAAATGACTTCAGATGAAACAATCTGACAGGTTTAGGTTTCTCAGACTATTACATTGACCCATAGGGCCACATTTACAGCTCAGTACAGCAGCAGATATTATACTACCAAATGTATAGGGAGAAAACAATTTACTACAATCCGAGAACCTTTAGTTATACTGACTACTCTACATGATTCACTCATAGAGAATTCCATCAATTTCTGTGTGGGTGTGTGATGCCGGAGTGCGTTTAATGCTTTGCCCTGCCAGAACACTTCAGACGCATTTCACATTCAGGAGAACTGCAGTCAGCCATCAATCCTTTTCCCTCTAGCATAATTCGGACACCTGGTCTTGGTATCACTGAGAGAGTTAAGACCCTCTTTACAGATAGGCATGTTTGGAATTCTTAGATATGGAAATATCTTTATTTTAGAGTACGATTAATAATCACGGCAGTGTTGTTGCCTTTTGTAATATTTTATTGGCATTATTACAGCAGAAGAATATGCTTTTTTTCCCCCGCTTAGACAATTCTATTTCGAATGCACACAACCATAAACAGCAGATAATTTAAACCATGAACAGTGAGTGATGTGCTAATGCAAGGGAGTGCACACAGCAACAGCTATGCGACTCCTCCTGCTGTGAAAATGTCAATAAGTGAATAGCTCCTGAAAAGTCAAAGTTACATAGGTTCTGTTGGGCAGGCTATCCCTTACTTCTGAGCAATGGAAGCTTCGAGTTATCAATTATTGCCTAAATTGAAAATGTTTAATTACCCACAGTGTTCAGTTTTAATCCTTAACTACTGTCCCCAAATCTGCTGAGCAATATTTCAATGAACTTTAATTGTATTTGATTAAAAATGCCTGTGGCCACAGTGAATTTAATCAAACACAGCAGAAAGACGTGAGGTGACCCATTTCACAGGTGGAAATAATTTTACAGGCATCTTAAACCTGTTAATTGAAAGCAGTTTGAGGGTTTAATGCGCCATGTCTCAGATTCATTACTGATGGAAATGCTATTATTTCTGTGGGTATTTCAGGTGAAACAGAAAAAATGAGGTGCCAAGGTAGTAGATTAAGGATTAATCAGATGCTACCAGCCCCATAATGAAATTGGGGTTATTAATAAGTTCCAAATTATATAAAAAATATTTCAAGTTAAAAAAATTACTCCTCCTTATGAGGAATATGTTCCCGAACTGTCTGTGGGTCACAGAAATCCTGTACTCTGGGACAAATCTCTCCTAAACCTTATACTGGATCTACCATTGGTATGTCTAATACACCACGTAAATCAATAGACATATACTAAATAACCCAAAAATGTGACAGAAAATAAACCTCATGCTGCCCAGTTTTCCATTATAAAAAGGAATATTACAAAAATTACCTAAAGTATGTACCTTTACAGTTACTGAGCACAGGGATCTTCAGGAAGAGGTGATGAAGAGGGACAGATGCCATAGACAATGGGGACAAAAACATTTGTGTGCAAATTCTGAATTGAGCCTTGGTGTAAGAAGCTCAGGGTCTCTGAGAGTGCATGGGAAGATTCAGGCCTGAGAGTGTATGAGAAGTTTTAGGGCTCTATCTGAGAGTGCTCTAGATAGAAGGTTTGCGAATGCCTCTCAAAAGCCAGGTTTGGTCAAACACAGCGAGTATGTGAACCCGCAGGTGAGGAGGAAGACGTTTAACGACAATGACAGATTCTTCTACCGCACTGATGTTATTCTACCTGCATTTCTGTTAACACTTTGTATGATTAAGTTTAATGTCTACGTTTAAGTACTGCATTTCCTTTATGCATTCAAACATTTGTGTAGATTAGACCATGATTTTCTTTATTCTGTTTTTATTTACTCTGTCGTTCTCTCTTCCCATGCAGCTTTTATTGTAATCAGGGCTGGGGTGTCAGAGGCACAGCAACTGACCTCCAGCAAGGAGCACACTGTCAAGGACAATGAACACACTGTTTGGCTGCCTATTTGGACTCTCAGCAGCAACAAAAAATGTATAGATTTGACCATCTCTATTTGTGACCAACACTAATCCCAACGAACGTCACAGTATCACCCCCATCTGAATTCACTGTGCTGCAACAAACATTACTGGCCGTAAAGTCTTCATATTGCTCAGTGTCCAGTTAGCAGGTACATCCTGGCTGAGGAGACAGTTGATATCCAATCATGTTTGTAAAGACATTACTTATTAAAATAACTTAAAATACACTGCAAACAAAACACTGAGCATAAAATGGAGTAGGCAAAAACATCTGCATCTGAAAGTGTCACCTCGTTGAAGTTTGATATGTACACCTAAGTGATGCTGATGGGTTGCAGGAATCACAGGCTATTTCACAGCTTTTTCTGGGGGGGGGGGCATGTGTGCTCATTTTAAAATGGCAGACCTCTGTGATCTTGTAGTGTTTAATTGGCTTGTGATGCTCTAGTTCTTCCTGAGGGTGTTGGGGAATGGTAAGAAGCTTGGATTGGAAAAACGGGTCTGCACAAGTGTGCAATATGGGCTGGGCAAATTTCGTTAAGCTTCACTGTAAGGAATGGGTCCACACACTCACCTCCTGAACGGATGCCTGTTGGAAGAGCGGGATCAATGGGTTTGTTCTGGGAATGTCAATGTGAATCTGCAATGAAACAAAAAGGAGGTACTGTGAAATTCAGCACATGTGGAGCAAGATAAGAGGTTGCAAAAGGAAACAGCTGAAAGCGACTTTACTTTGAGTATTGAGGAGGGAGAATCCACTGCAAGGGGAACCCCAAAGCTCAAATGGGCTCCCCAAAACCTCTTTAAAAATGTTGCATGATGATAATGTGGTTAAACATTAATGACGTTTAAAAAAAAATGATGGCAAATAAAAGAGCTCTATCTTCAGAAGCTGAACTCAAGCTTTCTTTCCATGCAGCCGATTAAGACAATTCAAAAAGAATGGGCCTCTCCCAGTCAGTATGATGGACAGTAGCTCTAAAATTCTTCTCGGTGGACCAGATTATAGCTATGCCATGATATTGTCATCTAGTGATTAGCTTGCCTCTGAATTTGAACTGGTGGTATATGGAGGAAAGACTATGCTTAATTCCTTGCTGTTGTGCTTTCCCCTTTGTTCAAGAAGCAACAGAAGAGAAAACTGTTGGGCCAATAAGGAAGAAAATAAACACTGATGCTCTTTTCAACAAGCTCAGGGAAGCCTGATGTGTTTAACTCTGAGCGCTGCTGTAGAGGCATTAGAAATGGGCATCTAGGGGAGAAAGGCAGAGCTGTCCTTTGCTTCTTTGGTAATTACTTCTGGAGCCGTGAATGGCGGCACTAATTTCAATAAGCACGGTGTGGCTTTCCATCAATGCTCGAAATATCAATGGAAATAACAATCGCTTTAGCTCGTCTTCCATCCCTCCCCCCGGTCCATCTGCACTCAGACGCTCCCATTATAAACCAGGAATCAAGAGCTGCCTGATGGGAGGGCGACTGTTTAAACATCTCCTAGGCGGCATATTCATCAAAATGAACATCACTCCCAGAAAAACAGCTTTCTGGAATATTAGCTGCCCGTTTCAGACAAAGGGCCCATTATGATAAAGCTGAAATGCTACATAAATAAACTTGATAGCTATTCTGTAAGTTATTTGACAAAGGAAAGGGGGAGTTGCAATACTTATCGAACACCAACCCTGCACCATTAACTTGAGATTTACAGGCTGTGAGGGAATCGATTTTGCTCAGAATCATTAATGAGATGCTGTAAAATATGTTTTCTTCCCTTTTTCATTTGGGTTTAGGATATATAATCACACAAGCGGCACAGCATCTTTTTGCTTTGTTTGTTTTGTTTTTTTTGCTGCTAAACACATTTTCTTCTGCAGTGACAAAAGAGATACTTTGCAGAGGATCTAGTGCATGTTTTGGATCGTCTTTTAATTATGTTCCATTTTCACCTGTATATAAAAAATCATGCCGAGAGCCGAAACACTGGGCTTTAATTAATTTGTATTTCACAGAGGGAGAACAACAGAGAGATTGTATGGAGCACTAAGGACAGCATTACAGAAAGAAACACGTAAGAAATACATTACTGAGGCTGAGTTCAGTCTCTTTACACCATGTATCTGACACCAGCTCTGTAGAGTTCACATTCAAACAGCCTCCTGGAATATTTATAAACTATTTCAAACCCTTGGTGGGCAATAAATATTTAAAGCTTCCAGGTAAAGAAAGCAGATCTTTCAAAACTGAGTTCTCAGGTGTAGCTGAAAACAGATTTAAGGTACCATCTCCTTATTCCCTACAAAGACATTAGATGGAAGTTTTTCTGGAAAAAGCAAGAGAGGTGTTTTTAGTGTGAACTGTCCAGAGGGAAAGAGGAGAAGATGAATTTAGATGAGTGACCTCACCTGCTGACAAGGAGCCAAATGAATGCCAAACACCAAGCCCCTGTCCTGTCTGAAAACACTGTGACAAATATACAATGCTTTTCATCCACACAGGAAAAGCACAGCAAACAGTTGTGACTGTGGAATAGGGCAGAGATACAGAGAAAGCAGGAGGAGAGAAAATAAATGCATGGATTTGACTCAAAGGACACTGACCACGAAATAATTGACAGCTATGAGAAAGGACAGTGAACATAAAATGTATGCATTGCCCATCTCTGCAGCTGTTTGTTTCTTTGGGGAAGGGGTGATGGAGAACCTACTGTAAGATAAGTAATATAGTTAATTGTTAAAAATTCCAAAGCTTAATAAAAAGATGTGGTCTGAAACAGAGACAATTCCCTAAACAGGCATGGGTTATGCAAAGAAATGTCACGTCACACTGTGGATGGTGAGAATCGGGGGTCATTCAAGAACGATCTTCATGACGTTCTTAAGAACATAGGAAAGGCTACACAGCAAAAGAGGCCATCTATCCAATTTGACTGCTGATCTCATCTAGCTGTTTCTTAAAGGACACTAGGGTACTGTCTTCAGCAACGCAGCCGCATAACTTGTTCCAGACACCCACAACCTTTTGTCTAAAGACGTGCTTCCTCCTCTCAGTTTTAATTGTACTTCCATCTGGTTTCCGAATATGTCCTTTGGTTCATGTTTCACTATTGGCTCTGAAGAAGTCTACTGCGATTACTTACTCGGTGCCTTTGAACACTTATATCAGAATACCCTTCTTAGTTTTCTCTATTCAAGACTATAAAGGTTCAGTTCCTTAAGCCTGTCGGTATAGGACATTCCTCTAAGTCCTACAATGTATCAAATTTCTCTTCTCTGGATTGATTCCAAAGCAGCAATATCTCCTCTATAATGTGATGACCAAAACTGTTCACAGTATTTTAAATTAGGCCTTATGAGAGGCTTATTAACTAGCTACTTATTGCTTAGAACTGGATGCTCAAAATCTGTCAAATGGCCTCATTGCATCTGTATATTTTATGATGTTCTTTAATACCTCTAGTCCAAATTTCACTCACTAATAATGGTCATATCCTATCTAATATGCCTTTTCTGTGAATGTCCTACAGAAGATTGACTTAGGTTCCTACAGACCTAAGAGGCTTAACGCGGTCCTGAATTTACAACATTCAATGGGGGATATGATGTCTATATAAGCAGGTCTGTCAATATTAATAAAAACCTTTGTGTTGCACAGATGCAGGGAGAAGAGCTAGAATATCCCCCTTATTGACAATTATATGCCAATTTCTGCAAAGCCTACTGTAGCTGCCTGAGCACTTAAGAGTCTGTGTGCCAGGTTATTTATGAGACAACCTGGACTTTGACCAGCACTAGCTCAATGGCAGACACAGTGATTTCACAAGCCATTTAATAACATCTATGAACATCTTTTGTGCAGTGAAGGACTGCTACTACTTGTGGTTAAGTGGTTTCAGTCACTCATACCCAAAAACAATGTGGCCCATGAATTATTAACCACGAAGATCTGCTTATAGGCCCAGGTGTGTTACTGCTCTGCCAAAAAACACCTGAGCCTGCAATTATCCAAAAGGCCACTCAGAAAGTTTTTAACCATTTTTAGTGTGCTTTCCTCCTGACCTCCTCACTACAAACAATCACATGACAATCCAATGATCCAAGAATTTCCTGGGACACCTCAACCAGTCGCAGACACCTCTGCTCAAGTGGAGACATTCAACCCAATCAATAATCCTTTTATTCTTGTATTTCTCCATCCACTTTTCAGGCAACACTAATCAATGGTCCTGGTCTGTGCATTAGCTCCAGCTCCAGTGAAAACCTCTGCATTACACGTTCCCCAGCAGCACTGCCATGCTGCACAAATGGGGCAGGAGGGAAAGGGGGGACACCACAAACACACATGGAACCAGAGATGTCATATATCAATGGCATTGTTCATAACTGGTTCGGCTCATATCTGACTGGCGACTTGTTGTTTTCCTTGGTCCTCATAAATCTCCCATGGCCCCAGTCAATCACGGTTTACCTCAGGGTTCAGTCTTGGGCCCACTACTTTTTATTATTTATATGCTTCCTCTTGGCTAAATTATACACAAACATGATCTTCAGTTTCACCATTATGCAGATGATACTCAGGTTTACATTACAACTTCTTCCTCAGATCTCATATCTTTGTCACTTATCACTTATATCTGTGTATCATCGAGCTCTATTTGACATTAAATTCCTTTAACCTAAATAGTGACCAAACAGAAATCTCACTGTTGGGTAGCAAATGTCAGCTGGAAAAGATGGAGAGCTTCACTGTAATCATGGATGGCTTCCACATTCATACTGTATGTCTACCGTAGTCAGGAATCTGGGAGTCCCTCTTGATCCTCTCTTGTCTTTTGAGCCCCAAGAGGAAAAAGTAAGACTCAGTCATCTTTTTTCACCTTAGAAATATTGCCAATTTCTATCAATGTCCAATGTTGAGTTCTTGATTCACGCATTTATAACATCTAGGCATGATTTCTGCAATTCTTTACTCTATGGGCTCCCCAACTCTCTTCTCCGTAATTTACAAAATGTCCTAAACTCTGCAGCTAGGCTTCTAACTCCCACCAGACCATGGCAACCTATCACTCCTACACTTAAATCTCCTTATTGGTGACTTGTAAAATCACATATTCAGTAAAAGATGTTGTTACTAACTTTTAAGGCTTTAAATAATCTGGCTCCATCATACATCTCTGAACTTCATGTTTGTACTCCCTGCTATAGGCTACATTCAGTTGAGGCTGGTCCTTTGCTTGATGTAACTTGGTGTAAATCTTGGACTTTTGGAGTTTTTTCTGTAACCTCCGACTCTTATAGAAACAAATTCTTTCACTCTCTTCAAATTTAAACTCAAAACTCACCTTTTTACTAGGGCCTATGTTTGACGCACTACAGTTTATCCGGTATGTTCTTGTTTAGTATTTTTTGTTTTTGTCTTTTCCTTTATCACTATGTACAGCATCCTCATCGTCATCAGCATCCACCACAGAGTGGCATATTTCCATCTGTGGACAGAGGATTCGGAACATCTTGTGGTCCTCGATCTCATCCAGAAGAGGATGTCTGTCCTCTAAGAATTGTCTGTCCTTCCTGCCATGTGAAATTACAGTGAAGATTTTCATGGAGGCTTAATTGCTGCACAAACCAAGCCGATTTGTACATG